TTTCTAACTATTATTAAAAGTTAACTAAGCAGAAACAGCTCAAAGCAAAACGAGAACTGAAAGTACAAATGCTTACTTATGCCTAAGCCAAGAGACATTCTTCTTATCTAATTGTAGCTAGGTAATATTTTGTTTATTTGAATAATGATTCCTGTTTTGTAACCACAAAGTACTGTGAGCCTGCCAAAATGAAAAGTATATATGATCAACTTCACAAGTAAAGATTGGGATCAGCACCTTCACTTTGGTGTCTATGTTGTTTCTCCACCCCCTTTCACCGACTCCTCACCATCTGTTCGTCTCCTGAGACCCCCTGTTGGAGCTGGACTCTGACACTCACCCCTTTCTTTTTAATTTTTTAAATTAGTTATACATGATAGTAGAATGTATTTTGACATATTTTACATATATAGTATAACTTCTCATTCTTCTGGTTCTACATGATGTTGAATTACATTGTTCATGTAATCGTATATGCACATGGAATAGTAGTGTTCGATTTATTCTACTATCTTTTCTATTCCCATTTTCCCTCCCTTCCCTTCATTCCCCTTTGTCTAATTCAAAGTATTTCTATTCTTCCCTAACCACTCCCCCCATTGTGAATTAGCATCCATATATCAGAGAAAATATTTGGTCTTTGGTTTTTTGGGATTGGCTTATTTCACTTAGCATGATATTCTCCAGTTCCATCCATTTACTGGCAAATGCCATAATTTTGTTCTTTTTTATGGCTGAGAGTAATATTCCATTGTGTATACATACCACATTTTCTTTATCCATTCACATGTTCTTTAAGCCCTGTTAACCACCAATCTAGTCTCCATTTCTATTATTTTGTCTTTTAAGAATGTTACATAAATGAGATTATATAATATGTAACTATTTAAGATTAGCCTCCAGCACAATCAYCTAAAGATTAAACTATATTATTGTATCAATAGCTTGTTTATTTTTATTACTAAGTAGTATTTCATGGTATGAATATTTGTTAACCATTCTCTCACTGAAGGACATCTAAATTACTTCCATTTTCCTTATATAATGGTTTTATTAAGATGTAACTAATAGACCTTACAATTCACCCATTTAAGCATACAATGCAATGGCTTTTAGTATGTGCACAAGACTGTGCAAACATCACCACAATCACTTTAAAAATTTTTCCTTTATTTCAAAAAGAAAGCCTGTATGTATAGCAGTCACTCCAATTTTCCCTCAATGAACCCTCACTATCATGCTTTTCCTAGGCAACCACTACTCTTTTGTGTCTATAGATTTGCCTATTCTGGACATTTTGTACAATATGTAGTCTTTTACAACTTGCTTCTTTCATGTAGCATAATACTTCCTAAGATCACCCATGTCTTTGCATGTACCTGTACTTCACTTTGTTTATGCTGCATAATATTTCATTGTATGACTATAACATATTTTGGGTTTCCATTCATCAGTTGATGGATGTTGGGATGTTTTCACTCTTTGACTATTCTGAATACTGCTACCATGAAGAGTCATGAATAAGTGTTTACACAGATATGTTTTTATTGCTTTTAGGTATGTATCTAGGAATGGAACTCCTAGGTTGCATGGTAACTACATTTTAACACTCAAACTGTATTCCAAAGTGGCTGATGTTCCTATTTACACTTCTGCCGGCAAACTATATGAATGTTCCAATTCCTCTACATTCTCACCAGCCCTTTTATATCTAACTTGCTCTAGCCATCCTAGTAGATGTGAAGTAGTGTACTATGGTTTTGATTTGGACTTCCCTGATGACTAATGGTGTTAAGAATCTTTTCATGTGCTTACTGGTCACTCATGTATTTTGTTTCTGAAGAAATGTTTGTTCAGATTCTTTGTCTGATTTTTCACTAGGTTGTCTTTTTGAATGTTTAAAATTTACCTATCTATTCTAAATACTAGTTTCTTATCAGATGTAGGATTTGTAAAAATGTTCTATATATTATCTCTTCCCTTAATTTAATTTCTTAATGTATTTCTATGAAGTACATAATATTTTCATTATGATAATATCTAGTCTTTTTTTATGTTGTTGTTGTTGCTTGTGCTTTACATGTCATATCTAAGAAATCATTGCCTAATCCAAGATCATGAAGATTTAAGTTTTCTTTTCTTTTTTTTTTTTTTTTGCTACTAGAGGTTGAATCCAAGGGCACTTAACCACAGAGATATATCCTCAACCCTTTTTATTTTTTATTTTGAGACAAGGTCTCACTAACTTGCTTAGGGCCTTGGTAAATTGCTGAGGCTGTCTTTGAACTTGTGATACTCCTGCTTCAGCCTTCCATGCCACTGGGATTATAGGGTTGCATCAACATGCTTCACTTCTATCTAAGTTTTCTATTAAGAGTTTTAGCTCTTATATATAGATCTTTGTTACATTTTTAATTCATTTTATTTTTTTCTAGTTTCTCTCTTTTATGAATAAACCTGCTCTAAACATTTCTGTACAGATTTGTTTCCTTTCTCCTGTCTTCCTGTGGATTTCTTAAATATTCTTTTAATTTTATCTATTGTATTTTTTTACTATATCTTATATATCCTTTATTAACAACCTGACATTACATTATACAATATAGTTTATTTGACAAGTCTCTGAATGCCCATTACTAAGTAAGCTTCTTTAGGGCACAGAGCTTTTTTTTTTCCCCCTTAGTTGCTATCTCCCCAGCTCCTAGAACTATATCTAGCATATAGCAAGCAGGTTCTCCAAAATTACTTGATGAATTACTTAAAGGGTTTTGTTTAGAAAGAGTGAGGATGGAAAAAAAATCGACAGCTCGCTTTGTAGCTATAACCTATATTCATATATTATTTGTAATTATTTTAAAAATACATTTCTCATTTGAAGGATGGGTCTCCTTTTTGCATTTTGATTTGAAATTATTCCTTTTTAGGGGAAAAGAGCCATCTCTAAGACGTGGTAACAAGTCTATAGAGTATTCACAGGCCACCTATTAATGTGTTTGGGGGGGAGTTGTATTAAGTCAAACTGAAAAGTGCACCACTTCCTCTCCTTAAAGCAACTTGCAAAGTGTGGTGTGTACAGGTGGTGGGTTCTTCCAAGCTGTTTTAAATTTTTTACTAGCATAAAAAGGTGTGTGTGTGTATAACAGGACTTTCCTCTAGGTCTCCAAACCAGCCTTGTACAGGACAATAGTGTAGTGAAAACAATCACAACTACTTTATAAAGCAATTTAAACTATGTATTTAACATACCTCTAGTTCTTACATATCCCCATTTGAAAAATGGGGCAAGAGTTTGATAAAAGTTAAGTGACTTGTCTAAAGATAATTAGTAAATGCCATAAGTTTTTATAACTTAAGTTTGCCTCCAAAATTAGGGGTAAATCAATGGTTCTGAATCACGGCTTTCACCAGCACGTAGCCAAAGTACAATACTTATTACAATTACTTACTTAATGCCTTCAAACTAAGGGCCCATCCTTATTCAGAGATTGTGCCCTTCTTATTCTTTTAGCAATGACTTTTGGTAGAAACGACCTTTCTTTTGTAGAAACAGTAATTCCTCTAACAAAATGAAAAATTAAAATGGACTGTTAACCCTCCACATTTGTTTTTGAAATACGATCTGACACATGAATTTCCGAGAGTGAGAAGCACAGGGGCTTAGGTTAAAAAGGACTAATTTGGATTTCGAGCTCCGCGCCTACAAAGGAGCGCAAAAAGAGCAATCCTGCCCCCCACCGCGCCAAGGTCCGCGGGCCGAACGAAGCAGAGAGGGAACTTCAGTCTGATGCTGGAGCAACAGGAGATTAACCTCTACCAGGCGATTCTCCACCACTCTGCCTACACGACTGCGGGACCCCACAGTAAACACAAGTCAGTGCGCGTGCGCGCTGATGTCCTTCGCTTGAAGGCACACAGGAGCGCACGACAGTTAGATCGCCAGGGGGCGCCGTGTGGCTTCGAGAAGTCCAGTTTCTCGCGAGACGTGAGGCTAGGCTTTCCGGAAGTGACTGCCCGGAAGAGCCGGGTTCTTCCCGGAAGCATGCGCTACTTGCTTGGACAGCCGAGACCATGCAGTCAGATGACGTGAGTTTCCTCCTGTTGCTCCCGGGATTTATGCAGTGCGTTTCGCACATTATTAGGGATCAGAAACCGCGTACTCAGCTGGTCTATTTGCCTCGTGCGGTTCCTGACTAGAGGTTTCTAGAACCCTGATTATCGAAAGTGTTTTTGCACGCGTGTCTACGCGAGGTCTCCAGCTCGCTGCGCACGTTCCGTTAAGAGGCCAGGACACTACCCCTCAGACCACGGGGTCAGCTTAACCATTTCCTAGTGCCTAGCGTTAAGGACTTTGTGCCATCTATCATCTGTATTGTTCCTGGGACTTGGGAGGGAGGGAGAAAAGGGGTTATGGCGAAGTTTAGACTTCAAATTTAGGGATCCTGCTCATCCCGGTGCAAGTTACTTTTCAGTCTGCTTTTCCTGTGTTGTTTTTCTTTACATCTGCTCTGTCTGCTTATGTCAGGATTTCAGAAGCATCCTAGGTTGATTCATTTAGCTGTTGGTAAACATACGTTCAGTATTTTTTCAAGAATGTGCCGGGCATGGTGGTAATTACTCGGGTTTGTTAACAGAAACCCCTGCTGTTTTGGAGCACTCTGGTGAGGGAGAAAGTAAACAGGTGAACAAACAAAACAATAGTACTGTGAAAGAAAGATGAGTAATAAATAGAGTGTAATTAGGAGACACTACTTCAGATGGGGCTGATCATGGAAGGTTTCTCTTGAGACCTATAATATGAAAATGAGACAACCACTGAGCATTGGAGAAAACAGTAGAGGTACAGTAAAGCGTTCCAGAAAACACAAAGGTACAAAGATCTGAAGATGGGAGAGAAAGAATATAAAGGACACTCCTATAACTTGTTACAGGAATCAAGAGGATGAGAAGTAGGTATGCTTGTTGAGGCAAGATGATGCAGTCTTATAGGAAGTGTTCTCAGGGCTTTTAGTGGGTGATGATATCAGCTATACCCTTGTGAAAGGTTCTCCCCTTGCTGTGTTGTGTGAAGGACTTCTGAGGAGAGGGAATAAAAGCAAGGAGACTAGGGTAGTAAGAGTGGAGATGAAAAGAAATGGATGACTTTAGGTTTGTTCTTTAGGTAAGTAACAAGACATGATGATGAATTGAGCCAACAAATGGGACAAATTAGGGGATTTTGATTTAAATAGTTTATTCGTGATTTTATTTATTAAAATGGGGAAGACTAGAGAAGCAGTGCCATGTTCTTTAGAGGCGTGTGGAACTCAGATCTTTATTTGAATATGTTAATAGTTATGATGTCTTTTAGACGTTGAAATTGAAGTGTCAAGTGGGCAGCTGGATGCAAAGACAAGAGTAGTCCTCAGGAAAGAAGCCTTAATTGGGAGATGGCTATTTTGGAGTCATTGTTTTAGAGATGATATTGAAGTCACAAGCCTGAATTTCCTGCTTGTCCAGTTTCATTTCCTATAAAATTCTCAAAATGTGTTCTATTCTTTGACCTTTCTTCAACTACTTTAAAGCTTTTTCTCAGTTCCTTAAGGCAGCTCTCTCAAAGGTTCTTACACTATCATACACTTCTGTGTGGCTCTTAGATTGATTGCTACTTTGTGATGCTTTGTTACATATTTTCCCCCTAACTAGATAGATAAAACTCTTAGAGAACTATGCCTTCTTTTCATTCCTTACAGTGTCAGGACTTGGAGCCTTAAATATATAAGAAATGCTGAGTGAATAACAGGAACATCAGCCAGTGAAGGATAGCAATAGAGAATTTTCCATGCCCTCCGTGAGATAAAGTTGTGGTATATATATGCCCAAATAGTATTGTGCAGCCTTTTATAATGGAAAGTGAACATATATGTAAAAAAGCAAAGTTACAAAGTACATATAATATGATCTCATTTTTGCTTAAAATGTACACACAGGTACACTGTAGTTGGTGCCACACAAATTCTGGAAAAACAGAATACTAGTGAAATTTTATCTCTGGGTAGTCACATTATGATTATTGCTAATTTGTATTCATTTTTTTTCCTACAGGAATCTGTGCAAAGAATTTGTGTAAAGAAAACAAGTTAGGCTTTCTTAAAAACCATTTCTTCCATTCCTTAAAGACTTCTTTCCTTAGTAAAGCATACCTTGATGTGTAGCATTGTCTTTTTAAATTAACATAGCATCTGTTGGGCCACCTGAAGGGTATTTTTACTTCTGTCTTGCAGGTTATCTGGGATACACTAGGAAACCGGCAATTTTGTTCCTTCAAAATAAGGTAAGACTGTATTTGCAACCTGGACTAAAATTCTTTTAGTTGCTCTGTTGGTAACCATTTTATAATCTATGTTTATTTCCTCCTATTCTAGAACCAAGACTCAGGGCTTTTGCAGAAATGAATACAGCCTAACTGGACTGTGCAATCGATCATCCTGTCCGCTGGCAAATAGTCAATATGCTACTATCAAAGAAGAGAAAGGTAATTCCTTCTTCTATAAGAACTACTAAACATCCTTTTAAAAGGATGTTTCTCAATCTCTCTGAAGTAATATTAAAGATATTTTTTTATCCTTCAGGACAGTGCTACTTGTATATGAAAGTTATAGAACGAGCAGCTTTTCCTAGGCGTCTCTGGGAACGGGTAAGACTCACAAAGAAACTGTAGTGACTATTAAATCAAGAGCAAAGATGCCACATGTCTTTTCTCTCTTCCTTGACCATCTCTAGATTAAACGTCTGAAGCCATTCCCACTAAGATTTTTAATGGTGGTGTTGATGGTGAAATCTTAATCATTTGCCCTTGCTCCTCAAGCTTCCTTTTTCTGTTTGGTAGGTTCGGCTTCATAAAAACTATGAGAAAGCACTGGAGCAAATAGATGAAAACCTAATTTACTGGCCCCGCTTCATTCGACACAAATGTAAGCAGAGATTTACCAAGATAACCCAGTACCTAATTCGAATTAGAAAACTTACACTAAAGCGACAGTAAGTGTTTGTATGTTTGTTTATTTTGAAACCTTCTTTACATAGAGCATGTTATTAATCTGAGATTGTTAAACTGCTAATAATGCTTTCTATTAAATTCAGCTTTGTATAATCTTGTATGATATGCTAAAAAGAAATTTTAAAGATGTGTCTTTTGATTTGCAGGATTTTTAAAACAAGAGTATAACTTTATTATCTCCCCACTCCTTGCCTGAAAATATGCTTCAAAATTTTTTCTTTTATAATTCCCTGAGGAAATCTTAACATTAGGGATTTGAAAATTGTCTAAAACATGATAAACAGGAATGTAAGACTTTTACTTTCTAAAAGTGTTAGACCCTGATGTTTTTTCATTGTCATGTGCAGAGAATGTTAAAGATGATATTAATCTTCTACAGGAAATTCCTATTTATTAGTTCACTGAAACATTAATCTTAGTATAGCGAATGCCCTCAGAAACCTCAGGATGTCTAAAGCAAACAAAAACACCTATGGTAAAATATATTTTAAAATAGCTGGTTTATGATAGCATTGAATTTCTGGAAATTTTTAAGTAGTATATTTTGCTGTATTGARCTGAGCCTTATAAAACCAATTCCAATCTTTTTATCTTTTAAAAGCAACACAAAGCACATGAACCTGGATTTTCTGATAAAGTGTTTTATTTCTCCTAGGAGAAAACTGGTTCCTTTGAGTAAGAAGGTAGAGCGTAGGGAGAAAAGAAGAGAGGTAACGTAACTTACTTTTCACACTCATAGCTTTTGTATTTTCATTGTGGTAGCGGTAGTAAGCAAGGTACATGAGAAAGATTCAGTTACTGTTTTTCATGTAAACTGTTCAGCCCTGGATAATGGCGCACTAATCAATAGCAATATTAGTTGCCTATGACAGCTGAGTTTTTTGTATTTTAGGATTATGTATTTTTAGGTTAAAATATGGATGCTTTAGGGATGTGTATAGTGGAAACAATGTCTTAAGAGATTAAATAGACAAAAACAATGTCTTAATACAGATTCATAATTCCTTAAACTCTTGAAGTCAGATGTTTTAAGAATTCAGAATTCTGATGTTGCTTTTCTTATATATGATGTTAACTTCAGCAGAATTTGAGCATTATCTTTAAATAGCCAGATGTCTGGTCTGGATGTATCTGATTGATAAATTGAATTTTCTGCAGTTTAAAATTGCTGGTAAAGAATTGGAAACTCTGCTTTGATCATAGATTATTTACTTCTGTGAGGTAAATTGGGCAATTTTGTTACTAAAGTGATGAATAGTAACATTGTTGTATCCTGGAACATGTGCTCTAGTCAGAAATCTCCAACCTTTGTTCAGAACAGTATACCTGTCCACCTCCTAAAATTACCTTATGCTTCAAGACCTAGGAATCTACTATTCCTGACCAGTTCAAATTTTCAGTCCTTCTTGGTATTTGCTTTGCTTACCTCCCTTTTACCAACAGACATTTGCCTAATGTCCTATCCTTTTAAGAAATAGCTTTATCAATCTTTTGATGCTTTTGTTCCCATGAATAACATATAAAGTTTTGTATCTCAAATATATCACATCATTGGTCTCCAAACTTTTTGATGGGTCCATCAATTAAAGTTTTTTGAGTGTGCCGGGCATGGTGGTGCTTGCCTATAATCCCAGCAATTCCAGAGGCTAAGACCATTGCACCTGGTCCTCCATTTCTCTTTAAAATGCTTACAGAATGAATTTTTTCAAAAAAAAAAAAATTTCATCCTGAAACTCATTATTGAAGTGTTTTAAATTGTTTTTTAAATTTTAAATTGTTTTTTATGAWCTGTACTTAAGTTTTTCTGCTGGATTACTACTACTGACAGCCATTAGTGGAAGAGTTTTTTTTGGTTCTGTCACATGGAATCTAAGATGGTTTTAGAAAGTAGAATTAGGTGAAGGTCTCTATTTCCTTTTCTCAGCTTTTATAAAGTTTGACTTTAGGGATGATAATTTTATGATTCTTATGTAGACATAGTTTGACCTGTCAAAAGCTTTGTTAGAATTAAATTTATAATGCTACTTATAAAACCATGGGAATTTTTAAATTGAAAAGTTCCCAAGAAAGCTTGAGAGGGAATGAAGAAATCTATTTGGTTAGAGGCAAAAGCCTCAATAATAGGATGAAATGGGAAATTTCTGTTTCTGCAGGCTGAAAAAATGAATACTAATGAAGTAAATGGGTTTCTCTCTTTTATAGGAAAAGGCATTAATAGCTGCTCAGCTGGACAATGCCATTGAGAAGGAATTACTGGAGAGACTGAAACAAGATACGGTGAGAAAGCTTGTAACTTTGGGGTACAGGTTTATTTATTTATTTATTTATTTTTGGTGCTGGGAATTGAACCCAGGAGCACTCAACCACTGAGCCATATCCCCAGCCCTATTTTTTTGTATTTTAGTTAGAGACAGTGTCTCACTGAGTAGCTTAGTTAGGACCTTGCTTTTGCTGAAGCTGGCTTTGAACTCACTCCTCCTGCCTCAGCCTCCTGAGCTTCTGGGATTACAGGCATGCACCACCATGCCCTGCACAAGTTTTATTTAAATTCACATAGACCTGGTTTCATTCCCAAACACAACAGTTCTAGATCTCTGTGTAAAACCCTTGGGATGCTCCATTTACCTATAAATCTGGTCTTTAAAGATTTTTTTAAAAATTTCTTTTAAAAAAACTGTTGTGTAGACAACTTAAAATATGCTTTTGCTTTACTATTTACCTTTGTCAGCAAAATTACATTTGTTTTTAATGCTTGGGTTTTATAAATTTCTAAATTTTAAATGTCCTGGTTCCATGCATGCTCCATAGAAGCTACCCATTTGGTATTAACTACTGATTTCTTAAAAGTCAAAAACAGGACAGGTGTGGCACACACCGATAAGCCCGGCTACTTGGGAGGCTTATGCAGTAGTACTACAAGTTCAAACCCAGTTGGGCAACTCAGCAAGACCCTATGTCAAAATAAATAAAAGGGCTGGGGATGTAGCTCAGTGGTGGAGTGCCCCTGGGTTCAATGCCCAGTACTGGGGGTGGGGGGAATGTCAAAAAGAAGACATCAGAAAAACTACTCAAATTCCTGAGGAAGAGATATGTTTGTAGGACAGTAGAATTTCAAGTGAAATACCCAAATGTAGTTAAAGGCAATTTGTTTGTTCTTCAGTATGGCGACATCTACAATTTCCCCATTCATGCATTCGACAAGGCTCTGGAACAACAGGAGACAGAAAGCGACTCTTCAGATGCTGAGGAAAAAGATGACGAAGAAGATGAAGAAGAAGTAAGTCTTGTTTGTTTTTGTTGTCTGGTACTGGAATTGAACCCAGGGCTGCTACATTCCCTAGCTTTTATTTTTTGAGGCTAAGCTGCTGAAGCTGACCTTGAACTCAAAATCCTTCTGCCTTGGCCTCCCAAGTTTCTGGGGTTACATACATGTACCACTGCAATGGCTTGTTTTTGTTTTGACAAGCACTAACATTTAGAACCAGATACATTTTTATGTAATTCTTACACCTTTTATTTATTTATTTTTGTGGTGGTGGGGAACAAATTCAGGCCTTATACAAGCTAGGCAAGCACTCTACAACTAGCTATACCCTTGGTCCCTATTTTATGTAATTGAGAGAGAAAATATTATCTTCAGCCCCTTAACCAAAAATAATTTAGTCACCTTTTCTCTGTCACAAGATTTGACTAGTAGTGGGTGCTTTGTCCTCCACCTCAGCCAACAAACTCTATAAATTAACTATTTTAGTTTTACTTAAGATATTTCGCCTCTAATAATTTAAATATATATAAATATATAAATATTTTAAATATATAAATTTAATATATATTAAATAATACAATAATATATACAATGTATAAATTTAAAAATTTAAATATATAAATCTAAAAATTTAAATCAGGCATGGGAATTATCTGATGTCTCTAAAATTTAGGAGCACTAAACATGGGAATAACTATATTTTGATTGGCTTATACCAAAGAATTTAGCAAAGAGTTTTTACTATATGTCTAAACTGGATCTTTGTTATGTATTCTGGACCCAATCATTATGTTTTATTTTAGGATGTGGGCAAAAGAGAATTTGTAGAAGATGAGGAAGTGGATGAGAGTGATCTAAGTGATTTTGAGGTGAGCTCTGGGGGTAAAAGTTGTCTTTTGGCCTGTGGCAAAAGAATAGTTTCTGAACATAAACAAAAGCAAATAAACACTCTATTTGTTCTAAACTAGCATTTTTCCTTTGATCTTTTCTCTCCATATTAGGATATGGATAAGTTGGAAGTCAGTGGTGATGAAGATCAGGAAGATAAATCCTCCAGTGAAGAGGAAGAAGACAAGACTATTAATGCAAAGCACAAAGGCAAAACACCCTTGAAAGGACCTTTCAGGAGAAAACGAGCCTATGTAGAGATAGAGTATGAACAAGAGACAGAGCCCATGGCCAAGACCAAAACCACATGATTTTCCTCCATTTTTAACCAGGACTGAACATTTTGAACTTTTTTTTTAATCTTAAACATACATACACCTCCAGTTTTTGCTCTTTTATGTACTATTTCACACAATACTTATATTCTTAATATTTATGCCACTTCAGTGGGGCAAGAAATCTGGAGTGAGTGGAAGAAAGCTGTAAGTTGTGAAGAGTATTTTTATACCATATGTGTTGGCAATCACAGCTTGAGCCCAAGAAGCTTAACAGATGAGTCCCTGAAGGTGGAATGAAATTGTGGGTGTAAATATTTATAAATTTTAGCACTAAATTCCTTAGTGTCCTTTTTTCTTTCTCCCATATATAGAATGTCAGGTCTTCAATTTCTTCTTTTTCTCCTTTCCCTATTCCTATGGGGTAAAAGAAAGAAAAAAAGTTCCTATTTTAAATGTTTAGTGTAATAATACCTTTTCCCACARCTCCATTCATACAATCTGGAATGGAAAGAAAATTCTTTCCTTTTAAAGAGCACTCTTAAGTTCCATGGTAGGGAGTGCCTTCAGGAACCTGTTGCACTTTTCTGATACAGCTCACCACCGTTCTGTCTTCACAGCTTAGGAGAATTTTGGCCAAGAGACCCTGAAACATGAAACCAAACAAACATGGACTTTTTTGAATTGTTACTTTTTCCCCTTTACCTTCATTCTTCTCTAGAAACATACTCGAAGAAGAAAAGAATGGATAACTAGAGGACAGTTCACCAATCAGAATAGGTTACTTCAAAAACCATTAAGCCAGGCACAGTGGTGCATGCCTATAATCCCAACAGCTCAGGAGGATCATGAGTTTAAAGCCAGCCTCAGCAACTTAGCAAGACCCTAAGCAACTGAGTGAGACCCCATCTCTAAATACAAAGAAAGGCTGGGGATGTGGCTCAGTGATCAAGCACCCCTGGGTTCAATACCCAGTACCAAAAAACCAAACTGAAACAAAACATTAACTTGTTTATTCCAGTGTCCTGTTGGTTCAAGAGGCAGCAGTTTAATTCTAACCATAGCAAATTAATCTGGATTTAGACCTCAAAACTTGAAACTGCCCAAGGTTAAGGGCTAAAATGAAATAGTTTGGTTTGTTGTTTTATTTGTTCATTCACACTCTCAAATATTTCTGAGATATGAATTTCTTTTCATGCTACCTTTAGGCTTTCAATTGAAGATTTCTAAATGGAATAAAAAATGAGACAGTCTATTAAGTCTGTTAAATACATATAAATGCACAGATAGCTAGTATAAGCTGTGACTTTGAGTAGTTAACTTTTGTGGAATATAGGACCAAAAAGAATTCCCATATGGATAAATAAAACTATGAGAAAACATCCACCTAAAATGGTTACCTACCCCAAAACAGGAACATTTCTAATAGCTAAGTTATTCAATATTAAACTCATTACTTCTTTTAATTCAAAAGACTAGAACAGAACTTAAATTTTACAAACTCTTGCCTTTGGCTCTAAGCAGTTCTGAATAGCTTTAAAATGAGGGTCTGGGGATATAGCTCATTAAGAGTAATGCTTATTAGCATGTGCTTCAAAGGCTGCCTAGGGGAAAGTGTAGTATCTTGGGATTAATTCCCATCATTAGAAAAAAAGAAAAAGTATTGAACAAACTGTTGAAGACTAGAGGGCTTAGAGATGGGAATATAAAACCCTCTAGGCTTGGTGAGGCACATAAATAGTAAATTATCACAGGAATTACATATAAATAATAAGGGCCAACTAAAACCAAATGGTAGACTCTTACCTTTACTTGTCCTTGAGAACAGTGATCTAAGAGAATCAGGCAGTCTGTGGCCTCCTGTAGCAAGGTGTTCTTAACAGGCTCAGGTGTAAGTGTTGGGTCCCTTGCTACATCACATATAAGTTTCAAGATAGCCTTCAGTAAGACCACAAGTCTGCAAGAAATTCTGCAATCAGAAAGAAAAGACTGTTCACATTCTAAAAGACCATTAACATCAAAACAGAACCAATGATCAGACTTCAGATTTTTGTTATGCATGTTCCTAATACTTTGCATTGAATTACAGAAGTTAAAAAGAGAAAATTGGCCGAGTTTTGCCCCTTTTTAGCACAGCTGTCCACTTGGAAGTTATACCTGGGCCAAGTATACTGCATGAGAAGTTTTAGGGTTTCTAATATTTTCAATCTAGCCTCCTCTTCTGGTCCGTCATAAACCTCCAGATAACTAATGATGACCCGCTCCAGCCTCTTCAAGTGCCGGACAGTTAGGATCCCCAACCTAAAAATAGAAGAGAAAATGTGATGCCAAAGAGTTGAATTTGGGATGTATGGCTAGACCAGCAACCCAGATACTTGCCTCTTCACAAAAGCTGGTAGGTTTCTTGCATAAGTCCTACGTAAGAGAAGGCGATGCTCTGGTTCCATATGGGTTAGGATCAGCCGCAGTACCTCATCACAGTGTGTGGTGGTGCGAGCTCCATCTCCCTTCCAGTGCATGGTTTTCTCCAGGATGGGGAATAAATCCAAGAGACATAGGAGCACAGCCTAAAAGGAATAAATGGAAAGAAACTATATATAGTTCATCTGTTTGCATTCACAACACTCTTGATTTTTCTAAGAACTTCATTAATCATCTACTGTCTTTGGATTCCATGTCATAGCAATTCTAAGATACCAGAGTAATTAATATATTGAATGCAAATTATTTAACACCGTCTTCACATCCTTCATCTCCATTTTTCCTAAGGATTGTTCCTTACTAGTTTGTGAAATGGGAATACTGGCAGAGCTGTGATGTTTATCCAGACTTTAGGAATTTAAGTCTATTGTCACTAAGTAAAAGTGACTTAGTGATAACTTCATATTTACATTTACTATCAATAAACCCACTTCCACACAGAATCTAAGATAGTCCAAATTAGTATCACATTTGTTCATCCTATCTGAAGTTACAGTATCCAGACCCTCCCCTTTTAGTTCTCCTGGGATGCTTGGTTATTCTTAGTGTTTTGCATTTTCAAAAGTCTCTTCTTCACCATCTTAAAAGCCATAAATATACCTGTTAGTATGTGGAGTCTCAATAACTCCAAATACTAGTTTAAAAATAAAAGTAAAAAAAAAAAAAAAAAAGAGAGAAAAAAAAGATGCTGGAGAGGAGGTAGACAAGACATTAAAAAAGATCAAAGATTAGAGGTATAATTCTGGAAGAGTGCTGCCCAACATGTACAAGGATCTGGGTTCCATTTCCATTCCTCCCCCCCCCCACGCACGCACACACAAACCTGTAATTTTATAGATTTGTTTCTTCTGTCTTCAGAATATTCTCCCTCCTATGAAACTTCTATTCATCCTCATAAGCAAATATCACTTGCTTCCCAAAGCCTTCTAAAACCATCCCTAACACCACCCCAACCTGGTTAGTTGCCTATTGCCAGACATCTGCTGCATTTTACACAAACCTAATATAGTTATCATTTATATTGTTTATGTGTTCAGATATGTGAATACATAATCAATTACCTTACTATCCCTCCAAAGGATTTCTTAAGGCCTACCTAATTCATTTATCTCTGAATCCTACAATAGTTACTGGCACATAATGGGTATCAGTGACTACTGGATGAAAAAATAAATGACACTAAATATTTACATATAATGAGTTTCAAGTGCATATGTTGATGGAAGGCAAGAAAGAAGGAAGAACATTAAAATTAATAAAATAGAACTTTTTCAGACATAATCGACCAATGTAAAGGCAAAACATTGGTTTTTCTTTGAAGACTCAGGTGTGGATGCCTGTCTAATGTTGAGCTATTTTTTAGGCAACAGCTTTTATTTATCCTCATTACTTTATAAGAGAGGAACAGGTCTCTCAACTACTCAGTACTTACATAGTGCAATCTTCTACTCAATTTTGGAAAACTCAAACAGTTGAATAAACCTTACCTGAATGAGGTTGTGTTCTGGCATGTACAGGTGGTTGAAAATGGCATGGTATATGACCTGGGCTCTGTTAAACTGGAGCAAATCAGCAGCTGGCTGCAATCAGACAAGTTATCCAATTAAAAGTTTTCCAAGACTGGCAAAATGTTGGTAATTTTCCAAATTAGATTATGGGTACATGGAGGCTAATTATATCAGTCTATTTCTGCATATATTTTAAAAGCTCTACAATACAAAATTTTTAAGTTTCCTTCAATACTAGCTTGCACATTTGGGTACAATCCCTTTCAGGTTCAGTTTTTTTCCCTTGTTCAAAGTCAACTGTTAATCACTCAAGATCTAGTTATTCAGTATGATAATGATCCATCCTTCCTGTTTCTACTATAACTATCCTTTTTGCTTTTTTTTTWAAAAACTCAGGACCTCATGCATGCTATGAACACACTCTACCACTGAGCTATACTCCTGATTTTTGGGTTGTCCTTTTTAAATTAAACTATGAAACACATCAGGTTGGCAGAGGAGAAATTTAAGAAGAAAAATAAATAAGTGAATTTAATGACTTAATGACTTAAGCTAGTGAATGAACATAAGTGAAAATAATAGGTATATATGACAACTTAAGAATGGTCATGAATAACTAACTCAGTCTGTCCCATCAACACAGGTGACAGCAGAAATTGCTTACCACATTAAGCACAATGTGATGAAGGCAGCGTACACCCAGGATTTTGTTCTCAGTTTGATAATCATCTGAGATGAGCAATGATGGGGGAAGTATCCTTTCTAGGTGTTGGTATAGCCAGGGTCGAGTGACCTGTTGCAGAATCCATGAGAAAACATGTTTGGCAGCAGGGTTATTTTTCCAGGTTTCCCTAAATGCAACATGAAACAACATAAAGTGATGTGATGTTAATTAGCAATATAATTAACCAGTCCAAACTGAACAGAGTATTTTTTATTCTTGAAAAAATACACCCCACATAGGGTAAGTCTTGGTTTTATAACACTTATTTTATGATTTGAGTTAAAATAATTTCCATAATTGGGCTGGGGATATAGCTCAGTTGGTAGAGTACTTGCCTCACATGCACAAGGCCCTGGGTTCAATCCTCAGCACCACAAAAAAAAAAAAAAGTAATAATAATTTCCATAATCTACACTAAATATAACAATCATCAAGGGCTCTCTGTTTAAAACTTATCCAATGAGAAACAGTTATTTATAACCACAGCTATGTAAAGAATCTGAGGTGACAGTGGTGTTGGTGACTGTTTCAGTACATATGTTCTGAAAAGGGAAAGAGGAATAATGGAAATGTCTTGACATTATTATAAGGGAACAAATGAACCAATACATGAGCACCAATTTAGAGATTATAAAGTGAATTTGCACCTGACTCAACTAATCCTCAAAGTAACTGTTAGTATATACAGTTATATTAAAAATAATGAAACAGCTGGGTTTCATTATTTTTAATATAAATAATATATACTAATATATTATTTATATTAAATAATATATAAATAATCCCAACGTCTCAGGAGGCTGAGGCAGGAGGATATCAAGTTCAAAAACAGCCTCAGACAGGTGAGGTGCTAAGCAACTCAGTGAGACCCTAAATAAAATACAAAATTGGCTGGGGATGTGGCTCAATGGTTGAGTGCCTCTAAGTTGAATCCCTGGTAAACACCTGCCATCAAGGAAACAGAGTCAGAGAGGCTATCTAAACTGGTTCCACTCAGAACAATAAAAGGAAGCCCTTGGGCTGGGGTTGTAGCTTGGCAATAGAGCGCTCACCTAGCATTCGGGAGGCCCCGGGTCCCATCCTCAACACCACATAAAAATAAGTAAATAAACAAAATAAGTAAATAAGCAAAATAAAAGTATTGTGTCTAACCAAAAAATAAATATTAAAAAAAAGAAGCCCTTGTCCTCCATGTTTCTGGTAAAAATGACAGTTTATGATTTTTTTTGTCATCACTTCAGTGCTACAAATACTTCCAAAGTAACAAGTGAAAAAAAGAGTCATTATTTTTTCATTCCAAATACTGCTTCTCTATCTAAAACCTAGTGATGAGTTTAAAGATCCCCAAATTGAAATTCGAACTTTTGTTTTTGTGGTGCTGGGGAATCAAACCCAAGTCCTGCCACATGTTAGGCATGATTATACACTCCCAACCCCTCAAATCATAAGTTTTTAAAATCCTCTCCAAATCCCTATCTTTACCTAGGTTAAGAAACATAATTCCAGATCAATGGGACAGGATTTCCAATTTTTTAAAGGCAAATGTCTAGTGCCAGAAAGAACACTGTAAAATCAAGCCTGAAAACTTTGGTTTTAATCTCATATTTACTGCTATCTAGTGCATTTTTAACAAACCAGTTTTTAAGAGATCTACTATTACAACATCTTTATTTTCCTGATGAATAAACTTGGGTTCTTTGAGCTCTAACCTTCCACTACATTAGGTTGAAGCTCATGTGGCAAAGGGCAGGAGTACTCACTTATTCAAATCGGGTTTGAGTAGCCCCATTACCACAATAAATTTCCCTTTCTCATCTTCATTTTCTCCGCGTAAGAATCCTGCCTCAGAACTGCATCCAGTAACTCGAAGTAATAAGGAGAGCACCTCTCCAGCAACCTCCTGAGATTTTGGGCTGGTCCATGGTTTCTCCAAGCAGTGTGTGATAACAAAAATATAGATGGGTCCTGCCAAGTGACGTAGGCCTGTCTCCCATGCAGGGCAGTCAAGAGAATTCTTGGCAGTCTCGACTTTCCCCAACAGTTTAAGAAAGAGTAACCCAACTTCTGCTGCTTTCTCAGCTACTTCAGAGTGACCATCACTTCCACCTTCCTCTTCTTTGTATGGGGCTGCGTACTTTCCCAGAGCTTTTGCCACCTGCCCCAGTAGTTCAGGTATTCCACGGTGCGGTTCGCCACTCCCCTCAAATAATCTGTTACATTCTGTGGCTTCTATTAGAGCACGGAGGTCTTTAAGAGCGACATCTCTTGAGTTGCTTTGTCGTGCCTCCTGGCCGGTAAGGCGGTGCAAAATCTTGGAGAAATTCTGTTCGAGGGCAGAGAGAGACCACTCGCCAGGCAAGGACGAGCCTTCCCGCGGTGTTTCCTTCGCGCTCTCAAGCTCCATTCCTCCGGCTGCAGCAGTAAAGATGTGGTCTCCGTTGGGGCAGGAAACTAGAGGCTGGATAGGACCCACTAAAGAAGGGAGAGATGACTCGGAAGCTGGAATTATGCCAAAGGACAGTTAACTATATTCAAATAAAAGGGCGAGACGTCTGGGAGCAGGGTGACAAGTTTGACCGGGATAATAAAGTGCAAGGGAAATGCGCCTTGCTGGTAAAAAAGTCTCAGACTTGTAACTGGGAAGTGGAGAAACTACTCTTTCTGAAGACACCCCACTTCCCCTCCATTTTTTCTTTTTCTTTTTTTTAAAGAAAGAACCTGGTGAGCTGAGACACGAACACAATAAGAAAGCGAGTACCTGCCGGGTATCCCACACACCGCCTGTGTCTGGCAGTATCCGGCACCACCAAACGTCGTTGCCGCAAAGCACAAGGCTAACTTCCGCCGATACTGACGCAATCTTCTATTTCACGACTTACGGTCGGAAAGCCATAAAGATAGGCTAAGAAAGCAGGCAGAAAAGGTGGAGCTCTAGCGAATATATTTACATATGTAAGCACCCACTCACTAATTTAGTTTGTTTTGTTTTGGGAAGATGGGAAAGAAAGTTTCACAGAGTATCAGCCCTGCTTTTTGAAGTGTACAGGAATTTTTGTGTTAAAATTGGATATATATAAAATTATATAATCACCCTATTCGAAAAATTAGTGGCACATACTTGGGACTGCTTACCAGAAACAACRGTTCCGATCCTTCGGTTCATAAGTGTGATGATTGGGTGTTCACGCTCTTGTGTGAGATGTGCCTCCCTCTAAACCTTGTTACGACAYCGGCACATTACCCGTCTGACGTGAACTTCAAGGATCCTACAACCCTTTTCTCACGTTTCGAAGTTCAAAGAATCATAATCTCTTGGGCTTTCGTTAGCTTATATACTAGCCCCAGCTTTTAAAGTGTGCGTTTTTTCTTTTCTTTTTTTTCATTTAAGTGCAGGTGGCTAATTTTGTGTAGGTGTATCTTTTATTTTGGAAACTGTTCCTTGTGGATAGTGTCAAACATTTCACCAAACGGAGCGCGGTCACTCCCGCACCCAGCCGTAGGAGTGGCTTTCTGCACAGTCCCTCCCGTGCGGGGGCGCGTAGCTCCGGTTCTGGGCTCCTGGCTGCGAGTAGAACGAACCCCAGAGCGACCGCCAGAGAGCGGGAAGGGCGCAGGCCTGGCAGGCTGGGGCTCCTGGAACTAGGTCCAGGACCGAGGTCTTGGTAGAGTTTTAACCAGGCGCCCCGCATCGAGTCCTTGACCTTAGTCCATTTCCCGCCGTGCAGACCTCATTTCCCCCTCTCATTGCAGTTTCCCCGGGGGCGGAATTGCGTTCGCTTAACTTTAGTGAAGCTCCTCCGGGCCTGGTCTCCGGGCACTGTGCCCTGCCCCTTTGGGAGTTTGCCAGCTTCTATTCCTCAGAGGTGTCACGGTGTCCCAGGAGTCTGAAGAAGCCAACGTCGTTTGTGCCAAGGCGTGGGCAGGAGCGGAAAAAATACGGACTTGAGCATCAGGAGGGTCGGTAGAGACTACCCGGCAGTTTCTCGGAACCGGATCCACGGGGAGGCTCTACTCCTCTCTGCTGCCACCCGGCAGCCCTGCCTGTGGCCAGCGGCCTGTGCCACCCTGCAGCAGAGGCTTTGGGTTTTATCCCGCCTCCAGGTCCCTGAAAGTCCAGAGGAAGCCCCTTGTGGCCTCCGGATTGTGAGTGTGTGTGATCGAGGAGTGAGCCGTGACACGTCAGGGGTTCCTTGTCCCCCTGGAGGTGGTTATGGTGCAGGGGGCTATACGACCCGCATTTCTTGGCATGTTCTTGGTACAGGACTTGCAACTAACCTATCTACTCTGTCTTCCTTTCTGCCTTGATTTTTTTTTTCTTCCCTGTGACTTTGGGCAAAAGTTCAATATTCCAAGAATATTCTATGCATTAWTTTTTTTATATTTTTTTGGTAGTTGTACACAATAACTTTTATTTATTTTTATGTGGTGCTGAGGATCGAACCAGGGCCTTGCACATGCGAGGCAAGCGCTCTACCGCCCAGCCCCTGCCTTAATTTTTTTTTTTACTGGAAAAAAAATGTAGTTGATAATAGTCCCTACGTGCCTCTTAGGATTGTTTTGAGAAAGCAGTTAAATACATACAAACTGCTTAGAACAATGTGTGGTCAGTGGAAAGTTCGATCATATAGATGTTMGCTCTTATTGTTATACCACAATTCCCGTGTTCACTCACATTTCCTCTTTCCAGGGGAATTTTGTCGTTATGACCCTCCTTCTTGGCCTTTGTCATYTGACCTTCCCTTCTCTGACCAACTGGTGGCACTCCTGATTTTCTCAGCAATTCCAATCACTAATAAACATTTCCTCCCAAGAGGACTTACCCTTCTACAGGCCCAAGTGGAGCAAGATGCCAATCAATAGGCAGCTATTGTATCCTTCCTGTGTGGGAGCATTTCTTCCCTGTACCATGTATCCCTTGTGCTAAGTGGATCCAAGCTCACACTTGATGTGAGGAAAGTAATTGTATTGTAGACATTTCCCCCTCTACACAGAGTTTCCTGAAGCCAGTGACCATGTCTTTATCCCCTAGTGCCTGGCACAGTTTAGTCATGCAATAAACGTTTTTTGAACCCACATGTCCATCCACAGAGGACTGGCTGAATAGACTAGGGTAAATCCACACAATGCAGCTCTGTGTGGCTGAACAGAGAAAAGAGGACCATCTCTGTGGACTGCTGTGGAACTCCAGAATACGTTGTTAAGTGAAAAGAGCACTGTGGAGGACATGTATGTTGCCTTCTTTTAAGAAAGATGGACAAATAGGAACAATGATGTGTGTATATCCTTACACCTGAAAGCAGCAACAGTGGAGTATAAATTGCAAACTAATAAAATATTACRTATAAGAAAAGTGCAGGATGAAAGGAATAGGGATGGAAGCTAGACTTCTCTGTATATACAGCATTTTATAGTTTTGACTTAATAKCAAAAGAATCCCATAAATGTTTGTGTAATTATTTTTTTATTTTTTATTTATTTATTTTTTTTTTAGTTTTAGGTGGACACAATATCTTTGTTTAATTTTTATGTGGTGCTGAGAATCGAACACAGTGCCTCATGCTTGCTAGGCAAGCACGTTACCACTTGAGCCACATCCCCAGCCCCATTGTGTAATTATTTTTAAAAAGAAATTAACAGGGGCTGGGGATGTGGCTCAAGCGGTAGTGCGCTCGCCTGGCATGCGTGTGGCCGGGGTTCGATCCTCAGCACCACATACCAACAAAGGTGTTGTGTCCGTCGATAAATAAAAAATAAATATTAAAAATTCTCTCTCTCTCTCTCTCTCTCACTCTCACTCTCTCTTTAAGAAAAAAAAAAAGAAATTAACAAAGCATGTTCTACAGAAAAAAATTAAAAATACCTTGAGTCATCAGCATGACCACATAGAAAAGTAAGAAAATGACTTCGAAGCTTATTAATATGGCTATATTCCCTTAATGTGATATTTTCTAAGGACCAAAAAAAAATGGTAAAGAAATCAACTGCATTTAGAAATCGTATTATTAGTAAGAATAATGTATGGTTATTTACTATTGTATTATAAATGATTTATATATATTACCAAATAGTTAAATATGTTRATATTGTTAGAACCCAAAGTTTCCAGTTACAGACAAAAAAGATAAAATTATCAAATAAATAAAATTTGGTGCAAACTCTATAACCTGAAATTCTAATGGGCAATGTCAGTATGAATTTATGAATTGTCTTCATTCTACAAAATGCACACGTCCTAGTTGTGTCCACTAAAAAGGCCAAAAAGCAATAATAATCCAATGACCGTTGTCCAAATTCAAAGTCTAAATGCTTTTTTTCATTACCAGGAACAAGGAATGGTTTCAGAAATGACTGAACTGGGGCAAGAGCTGTGCTGTACAGGATGAGCCTGTAGCATTTTGCTATGCCAGAAAGCCAGGTAGCTGCCAAATATTACCAAGGTTACATGGAAAGAACCCTGGAGCCAAGATAAAGGTGCACCCTTTGGCCAAAGATGGAGCAATTTAGTCATGAAAAGGATAATAATGGTCATGATTGAAACATATTAAATATATACAAATCAATGAATTGGTAATGATGTTAACAAGAACATTCCTCATCATTCACCTTTTGAGAGCCTAAGAAACCAACTTTATTTATTTATTTGTTTGTTTTTAGTATCAGGGATTTGGTTTGGTTTGGATATGAGGAGTTCCCCCCAAAGTTCCTGTGTTAATGCAGAAATGTTAGGAGGAGAAATGACTAGATTACAAGAGCTGTAACCTAATCAGTCCATCCTAGTTTGAATGGAAAAACTGGGTGGAAACTATAGGCAGGCGGGGCATAACTGGAGGAGGTGGGTCACTAGGGGCCTGCCCTGGAAGGGTTCATTTTCCCTGTGCCCACCTCACCCCCACCCTGCCCTTCTGCTACCAGACCCCACTGTGAGCTGAGTAGCTCCAAGCAGCCTTTGGTGCTGTCTTACCTTGGGCCCAAAGAACAATTGTGGCTCTGAAACCATGAGTCAGAATAAACTTTTCCTCCTCTTGGTTGTTCTTGTTAGGTATGTTATGCCTAGCATGCCCTGGGGTCCATCCCCAGTACCATAAAAAAATGAAAGGAAGGAAGGAAGGAAAGGAAATTATATATCTGGAATGTACTTTAAAATACTCCATGGGAAGGGTCGTGATGAAGGCACGGCCAAGAGACAGATGCAGGAGTGTAAGTGTGTTGACGGTTGTTGAACCCAAGTGGTGTTCATGGGTGCCATTTATATTAGTGTTTGTACTTTAGCATAATTCTGAAATTATTCATAATAAAAATTGATGTGAGGGCTGGGGATGTGGCTCAAGCGGTAGCGCGCTCGCTTGGCATGCGTGTGGCCCGGGTTCGATCCTCAGCACCACATACAAACAAAGATGTTGTGTCCACCGAAAACTAAAAAATAAATATTAAAAAATTTTCCCTCTCTCTCTCTCTTAAAAAAAATGATGTGATTGCATTTATATTTTTTTGTTTTGTTTGTGCAGTTCTGGGTTGTTGTTTTTTTTGTACTAGGGATTGGATCCAGAGGTGCTTTTACCAGAGTCACTGAGCCACATCTCCAGCCCTTTTTGTTTTTATTTTGAGACAAGTTCTCATTAACTTGCTTAGRGCTTTGCTAAATTGCTGAGGCTGACTTTGAACTTAGCGATCTTCTCGCCTCAGCCTCCCAAGTCACTGGGATTATAGGTGTGAGCCATCATGCTGTGCTTATTGGGTCTGTTCAACTCCCAAACCTGTGCTTTTCACCGCTCTGCCAATTCTTTTTACAATCCTGAAACCTCACTATCAT